TAAACTCTACACTGACACCTACTCATCTCTAAACTCTACACTGACACCTACTCATCTCTAAACTCTACACTGACAACTACTCATCTCTCAACTCCACACGGAAAACTACTCATCTCAAAATTCTACACTGACATCTACTCATCTCTAAACTCTACACTGACATCTACTCATCTCTAAACTCTACACTGACACCTACTCATCTCTAAACTCTACACTGACAACTACTCATCTCTAAACTCTACACTGACATCTACTCATCTCTAAACTCTACACTGACATCTACTCATCTCTAAACTCTAAAACTGACAACTTCTAATCTCTAAAACTCCACACTGACATCTACTCATTTCTAAACTCTACACTGACATCTACTCATCTCTAAACTCTACACTGACATCTACTCATATCTAAACTGTACACTGACATCTACTCATCTCTAAACTCTACCTTGACATCTACTCATATCTAAACTCTACACTGACATCTACTCATCTCTAAACTCTAAAACTGACATCTATTCATCTCAAAACTCTAAACTGACATCTACTCATCTCTAAACTCTACACTGACATGTACTGTAAACTCTACACTGACATCTCATCTCTAAACTCTACACTGACATCTACTTATCTTTAAGCTCTACACTGACATCTACTCATCTCTAAACTCTACACTGACATCTACTCATCTCTAAACTCTACACTGACATCTACTCATCTCTAAACTCTACACTGACATCTACTCATCTCTAAACTCTACACTGACATCTACTCATCTCTAAACTCTACACTGACATCTACTCATCTCTAAACTCTACACTGACATCTACTCATCTCTAAACTCTAAAACTGACATCTACTTGTCTCTAAACTCTACACTGAAATCTACTCTTCTCTAAACTCTAAACTGACATCTACTCATTTCTAACCTCTACACTGACATGTACTGTAAACTCTACACTGACATCTCATCTCTAAACTCTACACTGACATCTACTTATCTTTAAGCTCTACACTGACATCTACTCATCTCTAAACTCTACACTGACATCTACTCATCTCTAAACTCTAAAACTGACATCTACTTGTCTCTAAACTCTACACTGAAATCTACTCTTCTCTAAACTCTACACTGACAACTACTCATCTCTAAACTCTACACTGACATCTACTCATCTCTAAACTCTACACTGACATCTACTCATCTCTAAACTCTACACTGAAATCTACTCATCTCTAAACTCTACACTGACATCTACTCATTTCTAAACTCTACACTAAAATCTATTTGCCTCTAAATTCTACACTGACATCTACTGATCTCAAAACTCTACAGTGACATCTACTGATCTTCAAGGTCTACACTGACATCTACTTGTCTCTAAATTCTACATTGACATCTACTCATCATCTAACTCTACACTGACATCTACTCATCTCTGAACTCCAAACTGACCTCTACTCTTCTCTAAACTTTACCCTGAAATCTCTTCATCTCTAAACTGACATCTACTCATCTCTAAACTCTACACTGACATCTGGTTACAGCCGTTCACCACAGCAATATGGTGCTTGTCCTGCTAGTACTATTAACAATAATAATAATCATAAAAATAATTTTAAAAATAGTAATAATAATAACTTACTATTACTACTACTATTATTGTCAATAAGAATAATAATAAAAACATACTCCTCCTACTAGTACTGTTAATATTATCATTATTTACTTTACAATTTTTTTCATTCCCATTAGCATCTATTTTTATTTATTTAACAGAATTTAAAGATCTGATTAGGAAAACACATTCACACAAAATGTATTGTTTATCTGTCTATTTGTATTTATTCTAAACTTTTTTTGAACAAATTAAAAGTCTTACTTCCCAGATAAACAGCTTTACACATCATTTGAACTGGGCTGTATTTGAACAGTGAAGATAAACACTTTTACACACTTTTGATAGACTTCCGGCGCAGAATATCCACTTCAAATTTGACTTTGTACTTACAAATATGAGCAAAATGTTACATATTTATTATCAGAAACAAAGACATGTTTAAAAAGTGAAACTGATAGTGAACAATGTATTCCAACACCACAAATGAACAACATTAATAGTTTGCTGCAAAGCGACTGTTGGCAGTTTGGCCAAACAGTCGCCAAGTATCTTCTTGCAGCACTGTGGTTCAGTTTTGGCTGGTCGTTGCAGTTTCGTTGTCTTAAAGAAATGGTCATCTTCTCCATAGATTCAGTTTCTTGGCCAACGAGATTAACTCCTCTTCTAACATCTCTCAGTACATCACTCCACTCCTATTTCCTTCAATTGTGTGTAATACTGCAGTACTGCCTGCAGAAAAGCAGCTCTAAATCATGATGCTCCCACCATCATGCTTCACTGTATGTGTTTCCTGGGATCACACATGGAATCCTTTCTCCAAATATGACGAGCTGAATTATTGCCATTGTTTTGCTGTTGATCTCATTCAACCAGGGTATTATCAAACCATCTGTACTGACACAAATGATTAACCCCTCAAAATCTCAGGTTTATTAAATTCCTTCACCATGATTATGACTTGTTGCATAAAACTGTATATATATATATATATATATATATATGAAATATATATGTTGAGAGCTCGCTGCTGTCAGAACAAAATCTCCAAACTTGTTAATTTACAGGAGAAGGTAAAAACCTACTTTACTTTTAATGTAAGTCAGTGGAACCAGACTTTTTTTCCAAGTAATTTTGGGCCGTTTCTTTTTTCCTTTCATCATGAAATTTACACACAATGTAAAAAGCAACAGGTATTTTCAAATTATGTCAAAAACTGAAAAATTACAAAAACGTATTTCCTCGGAAGTATAAAACAGTATATTAGCCGTGGTTTTGCATTTTCATCTTGCTCTCGTGATTTCTCTAAGCAAGTGGAAAAATGTTTTTGTTTGGAAGCCAGTTTCCTTAGCAACATGCAGAACAGGTGACACACACACACACACACACACACGCACACACACAGTGCCTCACCCCTCACAGACTTGCTCTCAGTCACAGAAGATGAGGGCGGATGTAGTGACCACTGAGCCCTGAAGCTAAAGTGCAGATAACACTGTTCTAAGTTCATCCGTCCTTTCAGATTTTCTTTTCTCTCATACTTTAAACACAGTCCTTTAAAAGCACAGATGAAAAATGAATAATGCCGCTGAGTACCGACGAGGTTTACACTGACATATTTCAACACAAAAATAATATAAAAGTATTAATAAATAGAAATTTGAAGGACTTGAAAGGTAGATACCCTAAATATGATAACCATAAAATGAAAAGCAAAAAGAAACTACACTTAATTAAATGCGTTTTGACTGCCATTAATAACGTCCTGTTGTGTGTTGAGTGTACGTGAGATTAGAAAGTGTGTAAATTGTTTTATAGGGTTTTTTTGTTCATACTTGCCTGCAGTGGATAATTATTGGACAAGAGCGGCCCCGGTAACACTTGTTAACCTTTCTGTAATGAAACAGAGACACAAAAACAAGCCGTTAATGCAGTTTGGAAGCGATTTTGATGTTGAGAGCTGCACAGAAATGCATTTAGAGCAGACGCAGGGACAGCAAGAAAAAAACTTAGCTTTGAATAACAGCCAAGGGTGCAGTCAAAACCAGATCGTTTTTATAATACAAGTTATTCTTCTGCTATTATAACACGGTAAATACAGCCAACTTGGTCCAAAGGTAAAATCACTGGTATATAGTTTCCCAAAGTGTTTGAACCCCTTAAAATTCCAATCTTATTACATACTAAGGCTTATTATTCAGAAAATATATGGACTTCAAACTGGCTGAGCTATTCTATTCTCATAGGTTCTAGAAGTGTATAAAAACTTTCGGCCTGCTGATGACCCTGGACATTTATGGGGTTAATTATGCAAATTTGCTCAAATTAATCACTTTTTTTTTTGGTATTCCCAATTTTCTCCCCAATTTGGTATCCAATTCCACCTAATAGTAAGGACTCCCCCAGTGCTAGGAAGGTGAAAGCTAGCACAGGCGTCCTCCATGACCTGTGAAGTACCACCGCATCTTTTTGACCTGCTGCTAACGCAACGTCATTGGACAGCTGAACGTGCTCAAAGCAAAAGTGCCAACCAGCAGTTCTGTTACGTCAGCTAACAGACTCCTGTGCTGGCTAGCATCACACTGAGTGATGGAGGGAGATGGGAGGCCATCCTATCCACCCAGAGCGAGGGCAGTTGTGCTGCCTTGGACTCCCGGCCATGTTTGGCTGTAGCATCACCAGGGATCAAACAGTCTCCTGATGATGGGGCCGACGCTTGGATGGTTGCACCACTTAGGAGCCCAATCATTACACTTATACACGCCCTTAAGTTCTAGGTGTTAATTGCATAAGAATGTGCTACAAGCTCTAAAATACTAGGTAATCATTTTGGGTAATGTGACACTAGGTATGCCCTGCGATGGACTGGCGACCTGTCCAGGGTGTATCCTGCCTTCCGCCCAATGACAGCTGGGATAGGCTCCAGCACCCCACCGCGACCCAGAAGGATAAGCGGTTTAGATGATGTATGGATGGGTGGATGGACACTAGGTATCAATAAAAACTTTGCATTCTGTACAGCTATTTTACCCCATATAACTACCCAGCACATGGAGATTTTTCATATTTCCTTTCTTGTATAAACAAATGACATTACAGTGAAAGTTACTGTATGTCTACTCAGAATAATGACCAGTTATTACGTTTCTCACTGTCCTTTTTCAGCTTAAGATCTATAAACTGCTTTTCAATATCTATAAAGGCATTTCAGTACTTACCAATATTAATATCATTGCACCTATAAAGAATTGCACACCCACTATTCAGCACCAAAACAAAGAACTTTACACAACAGCTTCTGTATCTTGGAGAAGAGCCAAATAATCATGCGAAGAACCACTGAAGCATCCAGGTTCTTTGAGTTGTCACGGTTCAATATACTGTGTACCCACTGGCTTCACTAAATAACCTTTGAAGAACCCCCTGTTTTGAGGTTGCGCTTTGGAGATTGTACCTCACACATACCCAGAAAATACCTGTCTGGCTTTTCAGTGTGTTTTAGTTTGACCAGCGCTGTCAGACTCAACCACTAAATGGGCCATATTAAAAAATCTCAACAAATCCACAGGTCAGGTGTGTTTTATTTCATTTTTACAGAACATTTTGCCATGACTTGAACGGGCCATTGTTTATTCAATATGCCAAAACTACAATAGCAAAATAGGCATTGAATACTTATTCAAAAATAATTCTAGATTGTTTTAATTGTTTAAAACGTTTTAGATGCCTATTTGCTTAAATTAAACACTAGGCATCTTTTCTTTTTGTGTAATTGCTGAGTGTTGTTGGGGGAAGGAGGTCAGAATGCATGCTATGTTGCAGTGCATGCTGGGGACTGTAGTGCTGCTCAGGTTGAAACAGACTAATAATAATAGAATATTAAAATACTTTCACAGGCCGAATAGGATTGTACCAAGGGCCTAATGTGGCCTGCAGGCCTTGTGTTTGACACATGGGAGTCAGACTGTCTAGAATTTTCCCATCATTTTATACTCTTAAAATTAAAGATGGCACAAAATGTTTTTGGTAACACTTTCAATGAATGTCGCATTTGTAAGCATCTATAAACACATTTATAACATGTTATAATGTATTCATAAGGCATTATAAACGTGGTTATAAATATTTATAAAAAGGAATTACACTGAATTACACTTTATAGCCATGTTTATTATACATTATGAATTGTTAATATAATGCATTATAAATAGTGTTAATAACATGTTATAATTTCAGTGCCAAAGAAGTCAGTCCCATCTTGGAGAGTGTTAAGTAAAGACAAATACCAAGCTAACGGTGGTGTACATTGACTTTCCCACATTGGGTAAAACACTGAGGGCAGCTCTAGTTTAAACTCTGACAATTGAAGCCTGTAATGTGCTTTATTATGAATGTTTTAGTGTTTCAGTAAATCCTTCAGTAAATACTTCAACTTGAAGCCTCACTTTTAACACTGGAGGAGGCTTTAGTACAGTACGCTTCACTTTACTTAGAGCGGACAAATATGACTTATGAGCTCTTATCATTTGTTATGATCAGTACTTATAATGCATTATGTTAACAATTCATAATGCATAATAAACATGGCTATAACGTATAGTGCATTTTTATAAATATTTATAGCTATGTTTATAATGTCTTATGAATGCATTATAACATGTTATGAATGTGTTTATAGATGCTTACAAAGGTGACATTCATAGAAAGTGTTACCATGTTTTTTATATGATGCCATAAGAACCAGATTTAGAATGTATCTTTCCGTCAATGATTGATAAATGAGATTCAAACAATCCATTTTAACTGTTAAAGAACTTCGGCAGAAGGTAAATGTTCTAGGAAGAACGTTCTTTACACCTATCAAAGGCCTCACACTTCACAAATCTCTTGTTTTAAACATTTTTCTGTAGGGAACCAATGCAGTTATTCTATGGTAATGCTCGAAGAACCCTTTTGTGGCACTTCCAATTTTAAGAGTCCAACTCATTTTATATCATTTGTACTGCACACTAATACCAAAAACATAGAGGAATGTAAAAGAAAGCATTACTGAATGTGCCAGTGGTAAAATCACAAGTAAGGAGTTACTTTACACCTTTTTTAACAAATTTATAAGAAAAAGAGCTCAAACATCCTGCAAAAAGGTGATGCTGCTACAAAACGCTTCCCTTTTTTTTCTTGGAATGGAAATCAGAGTGAGAGAAAGGCTGAAAACTGTCCGTTTCATCGTAGCCGTCCATTAAAACCACCTCTCAGACAAAAAAAGCCCATATAAAGCAATTAAGGCAACCAGCGTGGCTGTTTAAGCTCGTCGTGCGGCAGCACCCCATTAAAGTGTTGATGAATGCAGCGGCAGAAATGTCGCGGTCCGGGACGCATTAACATTAACACACAATTAGCCGTGTTACACGCCTGCAAAACTTGCCGCCGCCCCTTTTCCCTGCTCTTCACTCCATTACCATTACCGTGGGGGTTACCATGGAAACGGAGGCTGTTACCCCCTCGGACTGTTTCTTTGAGAGTTTGGCGGGGTGGGGATGTAGGGGGGGGGGTACGCATTTTAGTTTTTTTTTCCTTTTTCTTTTCATGTGTTCAGCCCGCCGCCCGACATGCAGGGGCGTTCACGCACCCGAAAAGGAGGCGCGTACGCTCACACACTCCCACAGGCACATAACACACACTCTCATCCGAGTGAACACCTCAAGGCTGTTTACGGCTCCAACGGAAAATGTGAAAAATATATCTGTTAAGGATGATTACAAAAGGATTATTTATCTAGAGCAACCTCTCAGTGCACGGGGAAAAATGAGAGCAGCTTTTCCACATTTCAGAAAGTCATTATATCCGTTCTCTCGCTATGGAAGAGAGAGAAAATAATGGGAAATAAGAAAGACCAGCTCTCCAGCACAGAACACATAGATTTGTCTTATATATCACTGATTGGTGGAAAAAAAAACAAAAAAAAACATAGATATATATTTCATGGAAACGGTGCCAAAAAATGGTGCAAAAAATGTTACATTTTGTAGAAATGAGGTAAAAGGAAGAATAGATAGATAGATAGACAGACAGACAGACAGACATATAGATAGATAGATAGATAGATAGATAGATAGATAGATAGATAGATAGATAGATAGATTTATATCACTGAGGAGTGAAAAGGGATGGTGAAGCATCAGGACAGAGATGAGGGGAGGGACATGGAGGAGATATGGAGGGGAGAGATGGAGAAAGAGAGGGCAAGGAAGAATGGGTAGGAAAGACACGGAAAAAAGGAAGGGCGAGGGACATGCACAGAGTTAAACAGAGAGAAAGAAAGAGAGACTGGTATACAGAGAGACTGACAGGCAGGGAGGGAGGGAACGAGTGAGGGTAGAGGAGTGAGGGCCTGGAAGAAGAGATACAGTTTCCAATGATCACTTTTGTGACTATGCAACTGGGCTCATATAACTAGCTGCAACATCACAAAAATGACAGTGGCAACCGCTAATTAGCTGGCCAACTGAAAGAAAAGACAGACTAGAAGAGAGAAGGACAGATAGAGAGTGAGAGAGACAGAAAGAAAGAGGTGAACGAACGATGTCTGACATTGTGCAAGTAAGAAAAAGATTCAAATGGCTGCAGAAGGGAGAGCAAGCCTAGCGTTAGCTGCAACCACGGCGCACAAAAAAGAAATAAATATTGATAAACTAGCCAGTGATATAAACACTGAGAGACAGAGCGAGAGATCCTGTAACATTCTGGCTCAAATCAAATCAGTTTCTGGATGCTGTGGTTTTAAAAAATGTTTCATAAGATTGAGGTGTAAAAAATTAGCTCTGAGCGCTAACTTCACTCCTGATGCTAACTTTAAACATTCATGACTTTTCATGTGCTAAGAGGAACCAAGACCCAACATGGGAACCAAGACCCAACATGGGAACCAAGACTCAAAATGGGAACCAAGAGCCAACATGGGAACCAAGACTCAAAATGGAGCCAAGACCCAACATGGGAACCAAGATCCAACATGGGAATCAAAACCCAACATGGGAGCCAAGACCCAACATGGGAACCAAGATCCAACATGGGAATCAAGACCCAACATGGGAGCCAAGACCCAACATGGGAACCAAGCCTCAAAATGAGAACCCATCCTCCTCTGGGTTCCTCCAGATACAAGATGGACGAGTTCCATGATGATCAAAATGAGTGCTAAAAGCTAATACAATGGAGCTAAAGATGAAAAAGCTATAGATTCTTATGCTGAGCTTGACTGAAGCTCTTAACTCAGAATTCCCACCGCAGATCAGATAAAAATATAAAAACCCTCAGCTAAAAATTCCCACTCGGGGAGGTCGGGATGGTGTTCCCAACATCAGATCAACATGGCTGCTCACATCCTCAACAGTAATGAAGAACCACTTCTCTACTTTGAAATAAGATTGGCTTTAGAAGAGTCAACATACAGACACAGTAGCTGGTTAAACTACAGACCTGAGCCAAAATTTCACTGTTTTCAGAAGGTAAATATCAGGAACCATAAAAACACTAATCATTAAAATATCACTCAAATCATTAACATTATCTCTCTAGCTTTTTGCTAGCTATACTTGTTTTCATGGAGGCGTCTCTGTTGTTTTCCCACTTTGTAGTTTGAACAAAAGTAAATAACGTAATTCCGAGTTTAGACTTCCCACTTCTAAATAAAACTTAACACTACTGTGCAAAAGTTTGGAATCACTTGCCATAGCATAAAATTATCACTTTATCCACAACATGAATTTATACAATATGCATTTAAATTTTTACAAATATTGGCCAAATATTTTTTATTCAGCATTTCAGGAATTCTGTCAGCCTAGAAGTCATCAAATCATAAAGGATTAATAGATCATTCTGATATCAGCTTTGAGGTTTGATCTCTACTTTTGCACTATGATGAATTCTGGAAATTAAGTTTTATAAGCTTTGTGCTACTGTTTACCAATTTCTGTTCAGTCAGCCTTAATTTCCAGTCAAAACAGCCATTAAGTTCAAGTTATTCATTTTTTCAGTAGTTATTTCTGAGGAGAATAGATATAAGATAATTCACATGCATAATAAAGAAAGTCAAAGAAAAATGTTTCCAAAACTGGAGTTAAAAAAAAAGCTACAGAGAAAATGGGGCTCCTAACAACCACCTGGAATAGCTGGTAGACACCAAAACTGCCTCCAAAAAATGGCAGGAAATGAAATAAACAGTTTCTCCCTTTTTGTGAAATATTGCAAAGTTGCATGTCGTCGCTGTCCAAAGAAAAACAAGTATCTCCAAAATGGTAAAAATGCCCTTAACTTTTAATGCAGGTTAAAGTGAAGAGGTTTTATTCTAAGTGATTTTGGGGCATTTCTATTGGTCCATTAATCGTGAAATTTTCACACAATGTAAAAGAGAACTGTCATGTTCAAATGAAGTAGAAAAAAATCAACAAAAACGGAGACTCTTTTTTTTTGGATAGCGACGATATGGACTTCTGTCTATCACATTTATAAGGACTTTCATTCATCTTTGGCTCTATGCAAATGTCAGTAGATAGCACAACATTGTACCATTTTATGTACAGCTCATAAGAGAATTCACTGGATTAATGCAGTTGAAAACATGATCCATATATTCTGTTTGGCTGATGGAGATGGATCTTCAGCTTGGATGTTACTGAGAAGTAAACGTGAAATAGGATACGATGATTTGAATATTAAAATCATACCTTTCCTTATCTAATACATTGAGTTCTATAATAGCCTTTAAACTAATGATGGCGGGCACATCTCTCTGAAGCAATACTGGAGAACGTGGTTGAGTAGTGCACAGGTGCTCACGCAGTGGGGTTATTTTAAAGGTTACACGGAAAACAGCAAGTGTAGATGGAAAGTTATGGGAAGCGTGCGCAGAAAGCCAAAACGCTATTAAACAAGAAAGCAATAAAAAAAAAAATTCTTGTCCTCCACCTCTGAAAGTAGCAAGGCTATAATCTGTGATAAATACAGGGAATCAAGACAGCCTCCTGCCAACGCCAATATTGTTTTTCCCATTTGGGGTCAAATAGAGACGAGACAAACAAACGGGATGTCATAGGTGAGCAGATTCACCAACACATTATTTACCCAGCAGCAGAGCCAACGTCTGTATGGGAGAGGCTCGAGCGAATGGGCCCGCTGTGAGTTCGCACTCTCCTTCTCTATTAAGGATCTTCAGCACGTTTATGGCGGGAGAGAAAAACGAGGACTTTATGCTGCCATCGGCTTTTCCGTCAGCGCAGATTTATTGCCCAGCGTTTCCCATTTAACTGAGGTGCCTGAAATAAGGATTGTTATATGGTGACGGCTGTTTATTGGCTGGGATGCAAAAATAAGGGAAAGTAGCAAATATTGACTCTTTTTCCACAGTGAAAACGTGGATTCTTAAAAACTCAGAAACCTCAAGCGAATAGAGAACACAGATAAAGAGCACACGGGTCCAACAAACACCGGCATCATAACACTGTCAGAAAGGAAAAGAACGTATAAACCACATGCACCACAGTGAATGAGGGAGAACATTCTAGAACTGTGAGAATGAGGGAGAACATTCTAGAACTGGGAGAATGAGGGAGAACATTCTAGAACTGGGAGAATGAGGGAGAACACCCTAGAACTGTAAGAATGAGGGAGAACATTCTAGAACTGTGTGAATGAGAGAGAACATCCAAGAACTATGTAAATGGGGAGAACATTCTAGAACAGTGTTAACGGAGGAGAACATTTGAGAATGGTGTGAATAAAGGGAGAACATTCTAGAACACTGTGAATTGGGAAGAATACTCTAGAACAGTGTTAACATGGGAAACATTCTAGAGCAGTGTGAAAACATTTTAAAACAATGTAAATGGGGGCAGATTGTTCTAGGCCAGTGTTACTGGGGGAGAACATTTGAGAATGGTGTGAATGGGAGGAGAATATTCTAGTCAGGGGTGAATGGGGTAGAACATTCTAGAACATTCTAGAACAGTGTTAACAGAGAAGAACATTTGAGAACAGTGTGAAAACATTTTAAAACAATGTAAATGGGAGGAAAGCATTCTAGGTCAGTGTTACTGGGGGAGAACATTTGACAACGGTGTGAATGGGAAGAGAATGTTCTAGTCAATGGTGAATGGGCACGAACATTCTAGAACATTATAGTACATTCTAGAACAGTGTCAATGGAGAAGAACACTTAAGAAAGAATGGGGAAACATTCTAGAGCAGTGTGACTGAGAGAAGAACTTTCTAGAATAGTGTGAATGGGGAGAACATTCTAGAACAGTGTGAAAGGGGAAAACATTTTGAAACAGTGTAAAGGGGAAAACATTTTAGAAACAACTTAAATGAGAGGAGACCATTCTAGATCATTGATACTGGGGGAGAACATTTGAGAATAGTATGAATGGAATGAGAATATTCTAGTCAAGGGTGAATGGGGGAGAACATTCAAGAACAGTGCTAACAGGGGAAAACTTTCTAGAACAGTGTTAATGGAGAAGAACATTCAAGAATGGTGTAAATGAGGAAGAACATTCTAGAACAGTGTAAATGGGGTAAAAGGGGCGGCACGGTGGCACAGTGGGTAGCGCTGTCGCCTCACAGCAAGAAGGGCCTGGGTTCGATTCCCGGCTGGGTGACCAGGGTCGTTTCTGTGTGGAGTTTGCATGTTCTCCCCGTGTCTGCGTGGGTTTCCTCCGGGTACTCCGGTTTCCTCCCACAGTCCAAAAACATGCAGTTAGGCTGATTGGACATGCTGAATTGCCCCTAGGTGTGAGTGTGTGTGTGGATGTATATGTCTGTTTGTCTGCCCTGCGATGGACTGGCGACCTGTCCAGGGTGTATCCTGCCTTTCGCCCGATGACAGCTGGGATAGGCTCCAGCGACCCAGAAGGATAAGTGGTTTAGATGATGGATGGATGTAAATGGGGAAAACATTCTAGAACAGTGTAAATGGGGAAAACATTCTAGAACAGTGTAAATGGGGGGAATATTCTAGAACTGTTAATGAGGGAGAACATTGGAGGATGGTCTGAATGGCAGGAGAATAGTCTAGAACTGTGTGAATGGGGGGAGAACTTTCTAGAGGCTCCTAACAATCAGAAAAAAATTATACACCAAATGTTTGGGGGTTTGTTGGTGTTTGTTGGATCAGTGGGCTCTTGCTTCCTGGGTGAGAGGGTGACCACCAGAGGGTGAGAAACCCACCTGCACCCTGCAGTACCTACATATCTATCGCCCCGTATAAGTACACACAGGCGATATTATAGTGGGTCTAAATGGTGCCCCGTGTGAGGAACCCATCTTCACCCAATTCCTGAACTCTCAGAAATGCATGTTCTACACGCAAATGAGGATGAAAACAGGAAGGGGCTGGTTCCTCTCTTGCTTTTCATCATGGAGAAAGAAAGATGCACACACCTGCGGAAGTCCAGGAGGGTTCTCGCAGACTCTGGAACGCTCTGGTCCATCCAGGACAGGAAGTGGAACTGCGTTACGGTCCGAGTCTCGTTGGTCTGGACGTTCTTCAGGTAGAAACTGCGGACCAGGAAGTCCTCACACCAAATGTGCTCTGAGACCAGGTTGACCTGCGGATACAGAAAGAGGCAATCAGAGTGCACCGCTAGGCTACGACCCCTCACTGCACATCAATACGCAGTTTTGGATTTTAGATCATGAGCAAATAATGAAAAAGAAGGACGCTGATCTGTCCAAGAACCAGCACCATCATCTCCACACCGCAAAAAGCCTGAATCTGCATGAATCTTAAACATAGACAACAAATCTTTCTCCACAGTATATCATTTCTTAACAAGAACTTTGCAAATATTGCAATTATTCTGCCTCTTTCATGTTTTAGGGGCTCTCAAAGTGGTCCGTGCTATGCCTCTGCGTTGTGAGTTGGGATTGAGCAAAATGTGGACCACCTGGGGGTCCCTAAGGACCAGTTTGAGAACCACTGATTTAACAGATTAAGTGGCATTACCTTATCCCACTCTGGCATATAACTGCCTTCGAGCAATTATCTCACAAATTTTACACTGTTACGGAGCCCTGCTGGTGGCATCCAGTATGAATAAAAATAATCAGTGGCCACGACTTATAAGGTGTGGGAACGAGATAAGTAAGTCGTGGCCACGACTTGGTAAGGCATGGGAACGAGATACTAATGCATGGCCATGACTTAGTAAGGCATGGAAATGATATATTAAAGCTCTTGATCTCATTCCCACTATTTAATTATCTCGTTCCCATGCTTTACTAAGTCTAACTTTTTAAATCATGCCTTATTAAGCTGTGGTCATGGCTTAATAATCTCTTTCCCACGCCTTACGAAGTCATGGCCGAGCATTTGTATCTCATTGCCAGGCCTTACCAAGTCGTGGCCACGACTTACTTATCTCATTCCCACGCCTTACTAAATTGTGGCCATGCATTATTTTTATTTATATGGGATGTCACCAGCAGGGCTCCGTACTCTTTCATTCTTTCGTTGGTGTATTTTATGCAGTGCAGACTGACCAACACTCATAAAAGCAGCATGCTGATGAATATAATAATGCATCACAGGTCAAGAGGGAACAGCAATCTTCTACTTTTTCACAGCTGCTTAATTTTATGCTAGCAATAAAACTTTCATTCACTGTTAGCCACATTAGCACTGTTTGAATGAACATTTAAACTCTGAATGTACTTTTTAATTTTAATTTTGTTTTTAGGAGCATCTAGAATGAGCTGGTCTCCTCCTGGCAGCTCTAGTTCTATATTCTTGTAGAGTTATGATTCAACACACCTGATCCAGCTAATAAAGATTTTGAGGGGTATCAGAAAATCAAAGCTAATGTGAAGAACTAAGTTCAGCTTTCCCTGAACGTTCCTGAACTAAAGGGTGAAATTAAGTACATGGATACATATGCATTTTTGTGAGGCATGCAAACTGTAATTGATCCAGCCTCAAACTTCATCATTCCATCAAAAAAGTCCTCACCTCGTCAAATTTTACAGCCTAAGACGAGTGTGAGGCTGTCGTAAGGTTAAGAAAACATTTAAGAACATAATGTTTTCAGGAATACCACTTGTTCCTACAATTATTTTCAAGAAAATAGTTAAGAAAAGAAAATAAGAGAATTCTTAAAAAGTTATTTGAAGAATAACAATTTCTCGTAACTTTTTTCTTAAGAATGAAATCAAGAAAGACACACATTTACGAAGACTGTCTAGCCCCAGAGTCCTGCACAGTGGTAGTGATAGGAACCAGACGTCCACCTCTAAAAGCTCCCTCGCAGGAAGCTGTTTTACGATAGTTTTGAGAAGTTTTTGGTCTAAAACATCTTTTTTATTCCATTCATAGTGGATGAATACATGCAGGACACTGTGAGGCAAGATAGTCCCCAAAGAAAACTTATATGTTCAGATTCTCCACTATTTTTCCATCATCATCATTCCATATAAACTCAGAAGACTCGTGTAGGTTCACCGGTGGTTTTAGATAGTAAATAAAATGGCTATATTTGTGTTGTAGTCATGGTGACCCCTGGTTCCTATCACCAAATCTGAGTCAGTTTCTCTATAATAAACCAAATCACATCACTCTGAATGACTTTCTTTACATGTCAGTGATTTTAAAATCATTCCCCTTTAATAGTAATAATACGAAAACTTTAAAAACAATGTTTGACCGCCATGTGTTTTACCTCGTAGATGTGGTACAGGTCAGAACCTTCATCTGGCCAGTACTGATGACACTGTTTGGTCCCGTTTTCGGCTAGCGGAGTTAGCATGACTATCACGACACAGCCACTTTCCCACACCATCTACAGAAGCAGAAGAACAAACAAGAGCTGTTAGTTTGTGACTATTCTAGACAGACATTGACCTGCTTTACCACAAGCACAGTGATCATCATTATAACATTCATTCTGTTCATTCTGTTCATTCCTAACACCCTCACATACAGTCATGTGCAAATGTTAAATTATATGCTTTGTTGATTTACTAAGTGAAAATATGTTAAAGGAAACTTAAATATGGGATTTTCTGCAATGTCAGCCACAGTAAAGTTTGGTGGAGGAGGTATAATGGGCTGGGGCTGTTTTCAGGGTTTGGGACCCTTAGTTAAAGTGAAGGGTGATGTTAATGTTACAGCATACCAAGACATTTATACACTAATCAGCCATATTAAACATTAAAGCCTCCTCCTTGTTTCTACACTCACTATCCATTCTATCAGCTCCACTGACCATATAGGAGCACTCTGTAGTTCTACAGTTACAGACTGTAGTCCATCTGTTTCTCTGATACTTTGTTCTTCAGTGGTCAGGACCCCCATGGACCCTCACAGAGCAGGCGGATCATTCTCAGCACTGCAGTAACACTGACGTGGTGGATATGTGTTAGTGTGTGTTGCGCTGGTGCGAGTGGATCAGACACAGCAGTGCTGCTGGAGTTTTTAAAAACATCTCAGCATCGCTGCTGGACTGAGAACCAAAAATATCCAGCCAACAGCGTCCTGTGGGCAGCCTCCTGTGACCACTGATGAAGGACTAGAGGATGACCAACACAAACCGTGCAGCAGCAGATGAGCTATCGTCTCTGACTTTACATCTACAAGGTGGACCAGCAAGGTAGGAGTGGACAGTGAGTGGACACGGTGTTTATAAACTCCAGCAATGGACAATGAGTGTAGAAACAAGCAAGTGGTTTTAATGTTATGCATGATTTGGGGTATGTTTCAAAGTTTGGAACAGGACGTCCAAGAAGCTCAGAAAGGTACGATGGTCAGGTGTCCACATACATTTGGGCATATAATGTAGATAGACCTTACAGTACAGTGTTACCAAATAGTATAACTGAGATGATGAGATGATTGTAATGTGGCATAAGTTACAATAAGCAATTAGCTAAACATGGTCTCATAGTGTAGCTGGTTGCCATTAGTCAAGCCGTCTATTAGTTGTAATTGAAGTTTAAGCTAGTCCCACTGCCCAGCCCTTCAATCACTCACTCCCTCCCTCTTTATCCCTCTTTCTCACTCTCTCTATCTCTGAGCGTCTGAGCGGCTGTTTCTCGCTCCATTTCTCCTAATCACACTTCCTCAGTGTCCTTGGAAGATATAATGGCCCACTGAGGCCGTTAGGAAAATGAGGAAAAAACACTGACTTTTATGAGGGCAATAAAAATACAATGGTCCAGACCATAAACTAATCACACTCACGTTCTGCACATCCCTGAACAGCCGTAAAGCGGAATATGCCACGACTCCATGCTGTGACGCGAGCGACATTATCCAGAATACGTTACGTTTTTTAATCTTATGAAATGCAGGAGAACATTGGCCATCAAAAAAAAAAAAGAGAGAGATAAATGAATTCATAATTGTGAGAGAATGAATATTACGCAGATTTTAAATCCCTCTTAGTTTTTAATTTAGATCCTGTAACTTTTGATTTCGCACTTCTCCAATTTCTTTCCAGCGTTTCTACGTAGAATTAGCTTGGAGAGAGAACCGCGTCCAGGTTCTTTTCCGCCGTTCCATTTCACCGGCCTCATTAAACGGCTGTTTGAAAATCGTAAAAATGATTTCGGATGTGGTTCTTCTGCTTCATTATCCCATTAAAGCTACAAAGCCCGCGACGCTCTGTTCCTCGCGGCAGAAAAATGGCTCTGCAAACCGGAGGTCGTTGGACGAGCTTATACAAATGTTCCAAGCCAGGTGATCAAATATTGTCGGTCCTGAAAAACCACTCTGCGATATTAAGCAAAGGTCAAAGCAAACCAACAAACGATCACGCTAGTGGACCAGAACAGGTCTGGCAGTGGGCAGCCCCAGAGCTGGCTGGATTAACACCTGCATGTTTGTACAAATTGGCTTCCTGACCGAGGCAGGCGGACAACATGCAAGGACGCTGGCCCGAGTGACCTTACCAATAAAGAGGGCAGTGGGGATGGGTAGTTTAACTATTAGAAAACAGACAGTTCTGGTTCCACGATCTGATTGGTGTTCAAAGTTGTTGTACAATAGTACTCAATGGCCACATCACAACAACTGAATTCTGTATCAATGTGTATGTTGCTTACATGAGCGAACAAAAAGTGGAGAAAGTCATGTGCAAAAGTTGTTTTTGAATTTCCAAGTGAAAACAGGTGAAAGCGTCCTCTACACAACTTCACATTTCTGTTTATTTGCTGAGTTTTTGAGAACATTATATATATATATATATATATATATATATATATATATATATATATATATATATATATATATATATATAAAACATTTGATGTGTCATATCTTTTGCACAGGTCACATTTTATGTCATATCGTATACATAGATAGATAGATAGATAGATAGATAGAGAACATATTGGATTATATATATATATATATACATATATATAATTTCCAAGTGAAAACAGGTTAATGCGTCCTCTACAAAACTTCAGATTTCTGTTTATTTGTATTATTTGTTTATTTTCAGAACAAATTGGATTATATATAATATATATAGATAGATAAATTGGACTATATATATATATATGTATATATATATGTATATCTATCTATATATATACATATATATATATATATATAGATAGATAGATAGATAGGTACTTTATGTTACATCCAGTAAATAAACAGCAATCGCACAAATGCAGAAGTAAAGAATGTGTTCACTTATTTACACTTAGAAAATCAACAAAATAAGTCATTTGACCAGGGGTGCACAAACTTTTGTAAACACAAGACAGCACATAGAAATCCAAGTGAAAATTAGCATTATTGACTTGGGGAAATATGATAAGAAAAAGCTACTTAAGAGGTGAAGGTTTCTGCATTTTAAACACTGCTATATTGTGATGTGTTGGTGACTGTATGGAACAAAAATGTAATAGTTGAATAGTGAAATGATGCTGTATATAATGATGGCAATATACCTTGAAAACAATAAGCCACTGGGGACCATGCATTACAGTGATTTTAACACCAATTATTCATTATCCATGATGAAATCACTGTAACACATGGCCTTTAGTGGATTACTGCTTTATTTTACTTTTAGAGAATATATGCATTTATAGATTGATGGTACTTAAATATCCCAACAAGAAGCTATTTTATATTTTCTAAAACTAAAACCATGTAAGGTTCAGTATTCACTTATTGCAGCATACGAAATTATAAGCAGCTGATTATTTGCTTTATTTAGGGATTTATCTTTGTGTTTAAGGTATGTGATTTACCATCCTACCAAAAGATATTTTGTAATAACTGTACATATTTGTCACCTCTGTGTTTAAAATATTTCCATATACAGCTCTGGAAAAGTTAGTAAATAGCTACTAGTTTCAATTACATACTACAGTATATACATTTTTCGAAGCATATATCGCAGATGGCACATGCTTTATTCAAATAACTGAAGCAAATGACAATGAAAAAATGTATCTTCATTGTTTTTATTTTTCTACATCATTTGAACATAATTTGAGCTGCTGTCCTTTACATTGTATGAGTCTGTCATGATGAATGGGCTGTAAAATTTCTCCACAACTGCATAGAATAAAATGTCTTTACATTAATTTACATACTTCACATTACATACTCACATACATAGTTCTTGTATTTTTAAAGTTAAAATTGTAAGATTTTGGAGATTTCAGAGATTTTTTTTCTGTTTTGGACAATGATAAATCTCATCTCTAGTAGTCTTTGTTTGCGTCTTTTTAAGACTTCTTTCTTTTGTATTAAACTTGTTTGTCTTATTATAATGAGCAGAAGATCAGGACAGCATAACCAGGCAAAAGTAATTGACAGGGATCGATGCGCTCATATTCACCATTAATCCAAGTGAGGCTTTTAATGGAAGCTTTCTGAGTCTGCACGAGGCTGACTGCGTCTAATTCGTCGGTATGAAATTAATTCAATTTAGATCATTATTTTTTGCCAGTAATTGACAAAATGACAAATACAAGCAACCAATAACCTCAATTAGCACCCGTCCCATTAGCTGGCGAGCGCAGATTTGCTGCTAAAGAAGGTCGAGTGACATCAATGCATTACCGCAATCAATTTACGTGAGCCGGCGGTTCAATCAAAAGTGCACTTTTAACAAAGCGCACAAGATATCCCGCACGCCCTCGTCTAACCTTTAACTGAAACAAACAAATAAACCAAAACAAACAACACATCCATTAAGGAGGCCTGCTCTAATATTGCTTTAAAAAAAAGAGAGACAGGAAGTAACTCTGCACTTTTAACAGGTAGATAACTTTCAGTAGAAGTACAGTTTGGATTAAAGTGGAGTATTAATATTTCCATCATACGTGGATTTACGAAAACTTAGACTTATGCAGAAAATTGAATGCTATAAAATTACACTGGCCTCTTGATTAGAAACACCTACCTTGTACTTCCACTAACTGGCCACTTTATTAGAAACACCTACCTTGTGCTTCCACTAACTGGCCACTTTATTAGAAACACCTACCTCGTGCTTCCACTAACTGGCCACTTTATTAGAAACTCTTATGTTGTGCTTCCACTTACTGACCATTTTATTAGAAACATCTACCTTGTACTTCCACTAACTGGCCAATTTATTAGAAACACCCACCTTGTGCTTTCACTACCTGACCACTTTATTAGAAACACCTACCTTGTGCTTCCACTAACTGACCACTTTATTAGAAACACCTACCTTGTACTTCCACTAACTGACCACTTTATTAGAAACACCTACCCTGTATTTCCACTAACTGGCCAATTTATTAGAAACACCCACCTTGTGCTTTCACTACCTGACCACTTTATTAGAAACACCCACCTTGTGCTTTCACTACCTGACCACTTTATTAGAAACACCTACCCTGTATTTCCACTTACTGGCCACTTTATTAGAAACACCCACCTTGTACTTCCATTAACTGGCCACTTTATTGGAAACCCCTACCTGCTGCACAGTTGATTAGGTCAGTTTTTGACCACAGGGCTGCTGGTGTCCAGATATTATTTTGATCTCAGCACAGTAGTTATGGGGTTTTGACATACATCAGTGCTGCTGCTAGGTTGAGAGTGGTCCACCACACAAAATATCCAGCCAAGAACAGCTCTGTGGTCAAAAACTGGTCTTTGATGAAGAGATAGATAGCTGGCTAACACAAAAAGTACATCAGTAGATGTACTGCAGTCTCTAACTGTGCACCAAAGGGAGGGGTTTCTAATAAAGTGGCCAAGGAGTGTAGCTTTGGGTTCATACATTACTAACTATGGTGTCAACAATAAAGTACTGTAGATGAAAGTGCTTTAAACTGGACTGTTTAAATTGGGCTCATTGACCATATCTGATATCACATTAGTACAACTTCTGTTGCTTGCCAACACAGTTACACCAAGGCTTCTGTTCCAAGATCAAACACAGTTGAATGTCTTTGGGGCCACCAGCTCTACAGGAACATCTATGTTCTGGCCGGCTCTACAAGGATGAACGTTTATAGTCCATCCCACTCTCCTAGAATGGACGTCTATGGTTCAGCCAGCCGAATCCCTCGGCCCTGTGGGGCCGCTGGAACCCCTAATTAGGCTAATACGCTCTCATCCAAACAGCACAGGGTGAGCGGGCATTGTGCTCACTCGTTTCTCTCGCTCTCTGTGTAACATTAGTGTGAAGCTGGCCCCATTCTTTCATCAGCATCACAGCCAGCAGCACACTGAGGGGAATAAGCACATCTGAGCTACTGTACAGCCTGCAATTTCATTTCTTTACACTGCTGAGAACTGCACACGCTGTAATTCACCCGGAACAAAACCTCACATTAGAAAGAGATGAATTACATACATAAGATTCATGTGCGGTCAGCGTTATGGGGCTGCAGTCTGAGAGCTGGTTTGTAGGAATCACAGCAAAAAGGGCTGGAGATGTTCTGATTCCTGAATTAAACTCATATTTGCTTTCAGTTCCTCAAAGAATCTGCAGACACACCTCCAAAGTTCAGTCTTAGAAGCTGGTTGATCATTTTCTAAAGTAATCAAACACATTCAGTGGTGTTGAGGTCTGGACTCTGGGGTGGTCAGTCCATCGTTCAGCTTCTTTGTTTGATGTGTCCGTCTCCTTTTCTCAGTGAGGTTCTTCTTGATCAGCTACACATCCTTTCAGACCCACAGCGCTGAGTCATCTTCTCACAGTGGAAGGATGGACAGAAACACCTGTGGATGTTTTCAGATCTGAAGCAGCTTGATTTTCTCCTCTCTCTCAGAGATGAAAGCAAATGGCTTCTCTATAAGCATGAAAAAGGTTCTTTGCTCCACTCATTTTTCTTCAGGTTGATGGAGAATGTGTTGTATATGGTTCTTTATAGAGCCTTTTTGAAAAGGGTTCTACATAGCACCTAAAACAGTTCTTCTATTGTTTACAATGTCAAGCTTATAAGAACCGCAGAACCCTTTTTGGTGCCACATAGAATGCTTCTAAATGTGAAGAACCATTTTACTATGCAAAGAACCATTAAATATTTCAGCAAATGGTTCTTTGAGTGTTCATGGTTTTATATAGAACCATTCTCTTTACTAAAGAACCATTGAAGAGTGTAGCAGTTTTAGGTTTTTAGTGTTGTTGATGTTGTTCTGATGTTGCACCTGCTGGTCAGGGATGGCAGTATGTCGTGTTTTCATCTGAAGCTGTGCTCTGATTGGTCTACTTTTGTCCAGAGCATTTTCTGTTCATCTTCCTGAAAGAGTGCCAATAATCCTGGAAGGTGCTGTTAAACAAAAATAAAGACATGTTTACCTGCCAGAAATCAGCCACTGTGGAGGGGAGTGGACCCTGAGCCGAGATATAGGCTGGATTACGAGGGTCATGATCCATCTACAAAGATAGAGAGAGAGAGAGAGAGAGAGAGAGAGAGAGAGAGAGAGAGAGAGAGAGAGATTGTTAGTAGATCCCACAGAAACCCATAGAAAACACAAGGTACAGAAAAAAAAATGGTCACATCAAAAATCAAAATGCAGTGATGTGTAAATCATTTAAACCCCACATTTCATTAAAAATAGTATAAAGACAACAAATCAAAAGTTAAAACTAAAACTTAAATCTCTCTCTCTCTCTCTCTCTCTCTCTCTATTTTTCAGTCTCTCTCTCTCATCATCTGTGTCTGTACATCTTTTTCCTCTTCCATCCATACACTTTCTTCTCCTCCTGTCTCATTCTCCCCCTCCCTCTCTCCCTCTCTCTCACAATTTCTCTCTTTTCTCTCTCTCTCTCGATCTCACACTCTCACAATCTCTTTTCTCTTTCTCTCTCGCTCTCACACTCTCACAATGTCTCTCTTCTCTCTATCTCTCTCTCACACTCTCACAGTCTCTCTTTTCTCTTTCTCTCTCGCTCTCACACTTTCACAATCTGTCTCTTTTCTCTCTCTCAATCTCACACTCTCACAGTCTGTCTCTTTTCTCTCTCTCAATCTCACACTCTCACAGTCTGTCTCTTTTCTCTCTCTCAATCTCACATTCTTACAATCTCTCTTTTTTCTCTCTCTCTCGCTCTCACACTCTCACAATGTCTCTCTTTTCTCTCTCTCTCTCGCTCTCACACACTCACAATGTCTCTCTCTTTTCTCTCTCTCTCTCACACTCTCACAATCTCTCTGTTTTCTCTCTCTCTCTCTGTCCTCTCTCTCTCTCTCTCTCTCTCTCTCTCTCTGAGCGTGCTTGTTCTTTAATAGGGCTGATAAAAGCTGAATCAGCGTATAAAAGCCCAGTGGCGCTCTGATCAAACACGTTTATTGATGAGCAGCTCGAGAGGACTGAGCCCCCGTTTGTGTCCGATCATCTCGAGCAACAAATCAAAAACAAAAACAAACAGCATATAAAGAAAACTGGAGTGTCGTCCGTAACGCAGCGGCCTCGCCTCGCCTCAGCACTGCCTCACAAACTCTAACACTTACTCATTAACAGCAAAAGATCAATCTGTAGCTTTTAAACAGCGATAAAGGCCGTAATCTCATTACAGCAGATTATTAGAGCTACAAAACCACAACACACGCCATAAACGACACGCACTGCTGTTCACACACAGCGCCACACACACGCAGGAGCGAGCATCCAGCTCTGACTACGAATATTAATATTAATCTCAGCGTGAATCTCAGAGATGAACACTATTAATGGCATGAAATGGTGCAAAACACCAAGAACAGGGACCTAGAACATCTGAAAGAGTGCCACAAATGGTTCCTGGAGCGATTATCTAGTACACTCTTAAAAAAGCTGGTCTTTGGTGAAGAAAATGGTTCTATACAGAACCATGAACACTCAAAAAACCATTGGCATGCTTGAATGGTTCTTTGCATGGTGAGATGGTCCTTCAGATTGATGGAGAACATGTTGTAGATGGTTCTACATAGAACCTTTTTGAAAAATGGTTCTATATGGCACCAAAAAAGGATTCTGCTACTGTTACTAAGCCACGCTTGTAACAATAGAAGAACCCTTTTAGGTGCTACATAGAACCGTATTCATCATATTCTCCATCAATCTGAAGAACAATTTCACCATGCAAAGAACCAATTTAAGCATGCAAACGGTTCTTTAAGTGTTCGTGGTTCTATATAGAACCATTGTCTTTATTAGAAAACCCTTGAAGAACCATATTTTAGAGCCACTTTTGGTTCTTGAAAGAACCATTTTTTAAAAAGAGATATGAAGAAGATGTGAGTATGAAGAACCTCTTGAAAGGTTTAAAGAACCTGCAGGTAACATATAGGTTCTGCACCAATTTAAGGATTCTTCGTGGAACCAACATTATGTGGAGTAACAACATTACGTGGAAACTTATAAAAGGTTCTTCACAATCACATATATTATTTACGAAGATGGTTCTTCAAAGAAACATCCCTTCCCTTTTTTGGATTCAGTTTTTTCAAAGAAAACAATTTATCCTAACTTTCTTCTCATGTCTGAGTTAAAATATATAAAGAATACATTTCTAAATTAAGATGCTGAGAAGGTTCTTCACACTCACATACCTCATTTAGAAAAAGGTTCTCCAAAGAACCAACCACTGAAAGTTACTTCAAGGAACTAAATGTGAATCATGCAAAGGACATTTTTACATTATCTTTAATAGTGCAGCATTCATTCATTCATTCATTCATCCATCCATTCACTTATTCATCCATTCATCCATTCATTCATTCACTTATGCAACCATTCATTCATCTATCCATTCATTCATTCATTCATTCATTCATCCTTTCATTCACTTATTCATCCATTCATCCATTCATCCATTCACTTATTCATCGATTCATTCATCTATCCATTCATTTGTTCATTCATTCCTTCTTTTGTTCATTTGTTCACTCATTCAATCATTCATTCATTTATTCATTAACTCATTAATCCATTCATTCGTTCGTTCATTCATTCATTTGTTTGTTCACTCATTAATTCATTCATTAGTTCATTCATTCATCCACTCACTCACTCATTCATTCATTCATTCATTCATTTATTTATTCATTCATTAGTTCATTCATTCATTCGTTCATTCATTCACTCATTAATCCATTCATGTGCTCGTTCATTCATTCGTTTGTTCGTTCATTCATTTGTTATTTAGTTCATTTGTTCATTCATTCATTAACTCACTCACTCATTCATTCATTCATTCATTCATTTGTTCGTTCATTCAATCATTCATTCATTCTTTCATTCATCAATCATTCATTCATTCTTTCATTTATTCAATCATTCATTCATTCATTTATTTGTTCATTCATCTGTTTGTGCATTCACTCATTCATTCATTAGTTCATTAATTCATTCACTTATTCATTCATTCATACGTTCATTTGCTATTTATTTACCTCTTTGTTTATTTAAAGATGCTAGCAATAAATATCAAATGATTTCCAATGACAGCTGGATAAAACGGTAGACGCACTCTTACAAATGACCCCTTTAGAGAGAGAGAGAGCCACGAAGAGCTAATGTAGGCTTTATATTGGCATTCAGAAAAACAAGGATGAAGGAGCTTAAAATGATCTTCAAAAAACCATGTTTGATGACACGATTTGTGAGTGTGAAGAATCTTTTAACCCTTTAAGTGGTCAGGGCTCACCAGCAGGCCCAAAGATTTATTATACACTGCTATAACCTAGGAACAGCTCGACTACTTTGCACTGAAGTCCCTGTAATCACTGAATAATAAGCCTAATGATGTAATAAGCCTGAGATTTTAGGGGATTAAAGTTTTAATGAACCTTCACGTAAAATAAAGTTTCTACACCAATTTAAGGCTTCCTCCTAGAGCCTTGGTGTTATATGGAGGTTCTTCAACTTATGAAAGGTTCTTCACGACCACACATCTCATTTACAAAGACAGCTCTCCAAAGAAACGTCCTTTAAGGCCCCTTTCAGTGGCACATTTTTAAAAAAGTGTTGGATTAATTTTTTCAAGAATAGCAATTTTTCAAAACTGAGGTTTGAGATAAAAAAAAGGGGCATGTTAAGAATGAATTTCTTAAGACGCCGTTCATGAATCGGCTCCTGGTCTTTCATTCTATTCTTTTGTCCAGACCCAAGCAGCATCACAACCCACCACTCATTCATCAAGCAGCCCAAAGACCCTTCACTAACCCTGAGAGCGACTAGAGAGCGGCTGAGGAAAGTTCGTCTGAATAACGCTACCTGAGAGAGAGTGAAAGGAGCGTGGTTAATGAACGGGAATGCCACGGTCGTCAGCGGACTGGAACGCTGCCATTTTGACTGACCACAATAGCCGGCAGCCGGCTCAATGGAGGTCAGTACGCTTCCTTGTTAGAGGATCAAGCTCAGCTCCATTATTCTCAGGCACACTCAACACCAGCACACCAAACACCCCCTCACTGCACACATCGAGGCCGAACACGGCAAAGATATTAACGTAGTGTGAATGCCATACACCTTTCTGCTTTTCTGGCCACTTTATTAGAAACACTTTGAACTTCTATTATTTGCTACTTTACTCGAAACACCTACCTTGTACTTTCACTCAACTGACCACTTTATTAGAAACACCTACCTTATGTTACCACTCAACTGGCCACTTTATTAGAAACGTCTAACTTGTACCACGACTCAACTGGCCACTTTATTAGAAACACCAACCTTGGACAACAACTCAACTGGCCATTTTATTAGAAACACCTACTATGTATTTCCAGTAATTGGCCACTTTATTAGAAACACCAACCTTGGACAACAACTCAACTGGCCATTTTATTAGAAACACCTACTATGTATTCCACTAACTGGCCACTTTATTAGAAACACCCACCTTGTACTATGACTCAACTGGCCGCTTTATTAGAAATACCTACCTTGTGCTTCCACTTAACTGGCCACTTTATTAGAAACAGCTACCTTGTTCTTCCACTAACTGGCCACTTTATTGGAAACAGCCACCCATGAAGTGGCCAGTAAATGTCTAATTGGAGCACTCTCATTAGCAGGTCTGTTGAGGACCAAACCTCAGACCATCATAAAAGCTAACTTCACTAAAGTGTCTCGTACCACTGCGCTAATTTCGCCGCGGCCTTTTACACTGAAAGAGCGAAATGACAGAAAGTCAGACAGGAAGCCCATTGTTAGCATGAACGACACACACGGCTATTAGCCTGGCTGCAAATGGATATAATTGCTCAGCACAACCTTAATTGTTGGCAAGAGCAATTATACACCAGACAGCTAATACCGCCGTATGAGAGGCCGCCTTCTGACTGCCCTCGTCTCGCTCGGATAAAGGGAGTTATTAAAGTGGATATATCATCTGAAACTCAGGAAGATGATCGTGCTCTTAAAATCTAATTACTTTAAGCTGAGATG